TTGCCGTAATTAAAATAACCTAATTTAACTTTTATTCAAACATGAAAATAAAAACAAAAAATTCTTACGCTTGGGTGTTTAATTAGCTTATTCAGCAATAAATGCGCATAAAAATCATGACAGATATATCCAAGCTTTGAAATAAAAATAAACAAACACCAAACGATTATTCTGCACTGAGGAACGTACCATAATGGTTTTAGAGACATCTTTTTATTATTAATAACAAAAGCTTTGTTATTAATAATAAAATCAAATTATTACTGTTAATAAAGCTAAATAAAGAGATAATTATTACAAGAAGCAGAGCCGTGCCAAGATATTTTTTCACCTGAGGCAAAAAGGTAAATGCGCGCCCCTATATATATATATATATATATATATATATATATGCATCAAAATATCTATATTTGTATTAAACAAAAGTAAATGTATTAAATCAAAATATCATAATTCTTATAGCATAATTATACCATAATTCTTAAAGTATTTTTAATCGTAGCTTTATAAATTCAGAAAAATAATATGGCCTAAAATTTTCAAATGAAAATGTTAAAAAATTCCCCTTTTTTTTGGGGGGGGATAAATAAGAAATAACATCGAAATGCACATTGCATTAATTTCCAGGTTTTCTTGCGATTCTTCCTATTGTTTTATTAATATACGTTTGCGAAGCTTATTTTCCCTAATAATAACTGACAAATTTTAAAACATAAAGTAATTTTTGAATTTAGTCAAATTCGTGACGCTTCTAGTGATTCACCTGAGGCAAGTGACCCTTGCACCGGCACTGACAAGAAGCACATTTTACTGATTTTAAATTCGTCAATTTGCTGAGCTACACGTGGAAAATTGCAAAACGAAAAATTTTATGGTGAGTCAGATGGCAACACTCGGAGAATTATCTTGTTAACTACAGTTGCAAGTTGGAAAATAAAATAAAAAACTAAAGCTCTTACGGTGTGTCAAATGGCAACGATAAAAGAATTACCTATTTAGCAGGCTAAAGGCTAAAGATATTGGAACGACAATACTTGGCGGATCACACGAACTGCAAAGCTCTGATAACGTAACGTAAGAGCCCAAACAAATTTGTATAGGCCATTAATGACATCTTATAACATCAAAAAGTAAGTACGGAAAATGCAAGGCACAGTCATCATACAAGTCGCACAGGGGAAAAAAAAAAAAAAAAAAAAAAAAAAAAAAAAAAAAAAACTGAAATGTTTTAGATTTTAAATTACGTCCAAAGGGGCGTTTTTTAACATTTTGTGTGTTACCTTTCTTTATTAAATATCATGTTCCTCGCACTTAAACCATAAGATCCAGTGCAACAGCAATATCGCAAAATAGTTTTAAAACGAGCATATCTTTATTATTTCCGATACAGAGACTCACGCGCTGGAGATAAAAATGCTTTTTCTGCACAACGTTGCCATTGCTCGCTTTGAAATCCTTGAGTTTGTTAATCAAAAAATTCGTCAAAGTTTTAAAAAATAGGAAATCGATCATAAAACAAATTTCAAATTTCAAATTTGGTCTTCCACATGCTCATATTCGTTGGAGGAGGATTACGTTATTCAAAATTCGATGACTCTATGTACCGTTGTTTTATCACAATACGAGAAATATACATACATTTATGCAGATTTTTCATTATTTAATTTCTTCAAATATAATGCAGGACTCTAACATTTTGTGGCAACAGTTTGAAAAGTGAACCGACATTTATGAGTCCGACGCAAAATGCCAAAACGAAACTAATAGTCCTTCGGGATTCAAATCCCTTTGGACTAAAAAGAGAGAGACATAAGATGACAGCACCGGATACGATTGAAACACTGTCATCCGGTACGCAATTAAAGCAAAGATTTTCTTCTATACTTTCACATAACAAATCATAAGCATATCCGGTCTTTTGGCTTTTTCTCAAGCTACAAATGATTATTCATATCGTCACGAGAGAATCTTGTGTTTATGTAAATTATATCACGCTGCTTTTACAAAACTCACACACACGGGTGAAAAAATTTTTTTATTTATTTATTTATTATTTTTTTTCTTTTTTTTCATGGGAAATAATAGGAAAATGAGATTATTCTATATAGTAACTTAAATAATAATTTAAAATAAATCTGAAAGGTTTCAGATTTTTAAATTACGTCCAAAGGAGCGTAATTTTAACGTTTTGTGTTACCTTTATTTATTAAATATCATGTTCTTCGCACTTAAATCCAATAAAATTCAATTCAACAGCAATATCGTCAAAAATTTTTTTAAATGAGCATATCTTTAGAATTTGCGATACACAGTCTCGCCGCGCTGGAGATAAAAAGGTTTTTTTCCTGTACAACGTTGCCATGGCTCGTTTTGAAATCGTCGAGTTTGTTAATCAAAAATTTGTTAAGGTTTCACAAAATTTGAAATAGATAATAAAACAAATTCGAAATTCAAATTTCGGTCTTCCAAGCGGCCATGTTCGGTTGAAGGACTGTTATTCAAAATTGGATGGCAAAATTGGATAGCGTTGTTTTTTCACGACACGTACAGAACACTCATGCATTAATGCAGATTCTTCATTATTTAGTTTCTTTAAATATAATACATTGCGATAATATTTGGTGGCAACAGTTTGAAAAGTGAACCAACGCAGAAAGTGAAATGCCGTTCTGAGACTAATAGCCCTTTTGGGTGTAACGCCTCTCTGGGCTAATAAATTAAACATCTTAGTTAGGGATGGCAACAGCTTCTATTACAATGTCGAGTTTGATTTTCGAAATAAAATGGCAAAAATAAGACTTAAAATAATTTTTAATAAACACGGAATGTTTCTTTTAATTTATCTACGCTACACTCACTGTTAATATCCATATAATTTTCTCGGTACAAAAAATAATTTGCAACACGGATTGACGCACGCACAGTTTCAAAATCATTGCAGTGACATCCCCCTCAAAAAATGGGAAATAACCCCCCTCCAAAAAAGGGGGGCTTCATTGCAATGATTGATACCCGAAAATTCGTCGCCTGCAGGTAAAAATTCTGATTACAATTCTTCCCTCCGCTTCAACATTCCCGTCTTTTACACATCATGCTTCCGTTAACAGTTTTCAAGAGACGTTGGGGGAGGGGTAAAATCTCCACTGTACAGCGACTTATTACGCCACCCCCCCCCGTAGTTAAGATAAAAAAAAGACCACAAGAGAATTTATTACACACGCTGAGCATGCACGTAAGCATTGATAAACTAACTGCAACCGCATCCTCTTCAGTCTCACCTCACAGGCAATTAACACTCGGGAAGGACACAACAAAATACAAATAACAAAAGTGACTTTCTCTTTTAAACGCGATAGAATTGTGTATTAGTTTATTTACAAAAGTATGCAAAAGGAATGTAAATGTTTCCATATTGTCGCGAGCGTACGGGTACAAAGAACCCATGATAGCTTGATAAAATTTACCAAAAGAACCACTTTACAGGTCTGGAACTTTCCACCAAAATACTCGTACAACTCTTCAGAGTACCAAAGTGTACAATCAGTTGTTACACTTCAAACAACGAAGGACGTTAAACACAACGCAGTGCAAAGCGTATGTAAGAGCTAAGCTGTCACGGAGATACCTCAAACCTCAATACTTCGAACCACGCTGAACTAAACAACAACTGAGAGCACAGGCTCTATCCAATTACAAGATCTAATCCTTTCCGCTATCATACAGTGTCTAGATCTCAAGAGTGCAGACCGTGAAATGCAGTACAGCAGAAAAGGGTGTAAATAACCGTTTTTACCTATCACAACTCTGACAAAAAGGCGCGGACTTCGTGCTCACTAAAACATCCACTACTTGCGGTGAGAACTTAAAGGTAAATTTAACAATAAATTAGAAAGGTAAGAAGTAATGTTTTAGACTTCACAATTTAATTTAACCTAGCAAGCTGTGTCAGCAGCCTACACCGGCGATAGACTAACTAAACGACCGGAAAGCGTAGCCGCTACGAAGCTGCAGGACGAAATAGCAAACGTGCGCTATACAAGGGAAATCACGCTCTGTCTAAACCTCTGAACTCACCCGCTTTTTATACCCCTTTCCGTTCATGCCATAAGCATCTTCTTGTAGTGCCCCCTTTCCTTGATGCCCTAAACACCATTTGTGGTGCTTTCTTTCTTTGATGCGCATTTTCGTAGTGCGCCCTTTCTTTAAAGCCCTAAGCACTTTTTCGTACAGCGTCCTTTTCTTGATTCCCCCAAGCACCTTTTTATGATGCCCCTTTGACGCCCTAAGCACTTTTTTATGCTGCCTCCTTTAATTAATGCCCTAAACATCATTTGGGATGTATCCTTTCCTTCATGGTCTTAGCACTTTTTCCTGGTGCGCCCTTTACTTGAGGACCTAAGCACCTTTTTATGATCTTTTCCTTGACGCCTTAAGCATCTTTCGTGATGTCTCCTTTCCTTAATGCCCTAAACACCATTTGCTGTGGTTCGTTTCTTTGATTCCATACGTACCTTTTTATAGTACACCATAAGCACCTTTCTGTGGTGCCCCCTTGATGCCCCACACACATTTCTGTGGTACTTCCTTTCTTTGATGTCCTAAATACGTATTATTTTGCTTATGTTCAATCCAGCTTTGGATGTATAACGGTCAACCACCACGGATCATTCTGCGGTTACTACGTAAAGAGGATCTCCATCCCAGACAGAGAGACTACCAATAAAGAAGCTTCTTACAAGCTCTTTAGTTCAATACTGATCGGCTGAAAACGTACTTTTTGAAGAAAAGAGGGGAAAATTGCATATTTTCTTTCAAAAACAAGGCTGGTAGGAAAACTGCTTGAAAGAATTGTTTGTCAAAACAGACGTGTGTGTTATAATAGATAGTGCGTTCATACTTGGATAGGAGCACAGTTCTTTCTTTTGCAATAAATTAATAAAAAGTGGTCGTACAAACAAACAACAAATGAAAGGGGGGCAAACAACATTTTTCTTACTTACCTTCGTAATGGCGGTGGCCATGGAGTCCTTGCTGACGGGTTCATTCGTCACCTGCACTGCGACATGAGGATTGTCCAGAAGTGGCCATGCACCAGCCACACCACAAGTCTGCAATTCATCGTAGAAAGTGCGCAAGTGGGGATCTCCAAACAGGGCACAGTGACTGTAGGTAGCTGGCGACCCACCAGCCGGATGGTAAGAGGTGCACTCGGGGTGATTCTTCTGGGGTCTCCGATGTCCTCCTCCTGGAACCCTGACCGGTGGCTGTGCTTCGGGTCCTCTTTCTAACACTCGGACACAGTTATATGTTCGAGTCCACTGGCCAATCAAAGACTGGACGGAATGGTATTGCAAATCTCCTCTGCAAGAGAGGGCTGTGTGGCGTATGCAATCAGAGTAGCTACGAAGAATACTGCAGTATGGGTAGTTAGAGCCTTGGACTATATCTTTCATGTTGCGTTCGAATTGTCTGTTGCAGAACTGAGACCTGCAGTCTGAATAAGACACAGCTGAAATGAACAAAAATGTAATGTTAATTACTTTATGAATTTATAACAAACAAAACTACATCAACAGACGGTAGTTTTCAAATATTTGTTCAATAACGGTAAATTAATGCTATTAAGCTAAGCATTCATACGGTACATCCACAGTAAGAACTATTAAAACTTGGGGGGGGGGCGACTAGAAATAAGCCAAGCCTGATCATGGGATGGATAAGCAAGCTTACATGTATTTAATATCTTTTCTCACGCGAATCTTGAACTTCCATTTCTCACTCTGTTATACAATGGTAAAAAGAAGCACGATAAGAACTTTATTGCTAAGAAATAAGAACATTTTCAAATAATAGTTTTTAACTTATTAAGGTATACTACCGTATTTATTCGCGTAACAGTCGGCCTCACATAAGAGTCGCACCCCCGTTTTAAAGCCGAAAAAATCAATCATCAAAAGTGTATAATATGGTGTAGTAGATTTCCTCCGCATAATAGTCGGAGTTAGACTTTGAAAAATTGGCAAAAAAGTGCAACTATTACGCTAGTAAATACGGTACATTTAACTTTGGCAAAGCACTCTAGGGCTGTCTGCTTAAAGGGAGATATGCCTTCGTGTAGGGCTTTCTAAGGGGAACTGGCTCGCATAGACGTTACACATGTGGAAAACCACAAAACCGCTCGTGCAGCCAGCCCGTTGGTCGAGACGACCCGAAAGTATACGGACGCAGCACACTGGACAATTTTCTCCGGTAAGCCTAAATTTGATTTAAAATCATTATTTTAATTAAATACGTTGAATTTTCAGTTTATTATCATTGATAGTCTCTGCATATGCTGTGATAAAAGTTTAAGAGATGTTTAATGAAAACAATTAGGATTACATTCGTCCATAATGGTCTAATGGGAAGCAAATATTAAGATGCTATTTGAGGCGTACGGGAATGCTTGTGCCTTCCAAACTACAAATATTACAGTCAATCTAAATACATCATTAGATAGATGAGAGATCACATAAGCAAACACGCACACAAAATTAAAAACTCGAAAAAAGGCCACATGCATAGTATCGCAAAAAAAGTAGGGAAATTTTGATGACGTCAGAACTCCGGACGCAGGCGCAAACGCGTATAAGTGGCAAGGTCGTCTGGTAGGCAGTCGCGCGTAAACAGTCAGTGTGTTTATGTGGTGCTTGCTGCATTTTATTATTATTTACTAGGAATATAACTGAAGACATATTAAATTCTGCATCCTATTCGCATATCATGGTCCAATTTTGCACAGGATCATTTTGAATGAATAAATGTTATAAATAAAAATAAAATAAGACATACGTGTGCGTAAAATATTTTGTTTGCTTTATGCATTCTAAGAACGGAGTCTATCGTCAACTGTTTTCCTTTTAAGAAAATGTTTTTGCATATTACAGACTATCTTCTTGACTTCTTCGTCAAAATATAAAAAAAAAAAAAAAAAAAAAAACACTAAAAGGCAATAAGACACAGCTCTTTGCGCTGTTCTACATATCTTCCAATTCCCCTGATCCGACAAAGAAAAACACAAAAAATTTGGAACCGGAAGGGCATATTGAAGGAGAAAGCAATGTGCAACATTATTCGAAAATATAACGGACTTTGACAACTATCTAGTGTTGTTTAAAAACTTAAAAGTTTCCAATTTGTAATCACACAAGTGCGATCACTGGTGGCTTCGAGACACAAAAAGACTGGTCACATAGACACCGGTTATCATAAATTTAAAAAAAATCACAAAAATAGCGATAACTCCTTCAAAAATAAACCAAACCATGTATAATTTGAATATGTTGCCAAGTAAGAGTAGCTGAGTAAAACTGCAATATGCAAATTAGTGGTGCTGCACTCGGAATACGTCATCTGCGAGGAGCATAAAAGTTCATGTTTGAGAACAAGCCCACACATTTCACTGTGATAATGACATCAGAAATCTGAGTTAGCCTATTCGTAACAATGATCTCCAGGCATCATTTGCCTGCAGAACTACGATAGAAAGCCATTGGGAGACTAGAGAGAGGACAAAGTCAAACAGAAGTGGCCAGATGGCTAAATGGGAGTCCTTCTGTGGTTCGTAACACTTTGGAGGCAATTTCAAATCACAGATTCGGCACCTACGAGGTTCAGCCAAGGACGGCCAACTGCTACGACGAGCGCCGATGACCGATATTTGACATTATGTGCACTCAGGAATAGAACCGCTACTACGACTCTTCTTAGATCCTCCCTTGCTGCAGCCAACGGAAGGTTGGTGTCATCGTCAACTGTTCATAGAAGGCTTCACAAAGGTGGTCTGTATGCGAGGCGAACAACCATTTGCGTGCCGCTCACGTCACGCCATAGGAGGGACCGTTCGCAATGGGCACGACATGTCCATCGGATGCCTGATCAATGGAGGGCTCTTCTTTTTACGGATGAGTCCAGGTTTAGTCTAGAAAGCGATAGTAGGCGTTATTTGATATGGAGAGAACCTAGAACCCGTTATCATCCGTTAAACATCCGTGAAAGAGATGCGTACGGAAGAGGCAGTGTCTGCGGGGTGGCATCTCTTTGGGTGGACGCACAGACCTCCATGTCTTTCCAAGGGGAATCGTGTGATGCTTTCCTGTTACAGGATGACAACGCAAGACCACACAGGGCTCGCATCGTAGATGATTATTATCAACAGGAAAGAACTATGCGCATGGAGTGGCCAGGTAGATCCCCGGACTTGAATCCTATCGAGTACGTTTGGGATGCTTTAGGGAGACGTCTAGCTGCTCTCAGCCGCGCTTGCAACTGTTTTGCAGGAACTGATAGACCGCATAATTGAAAGCATCACACATCGCTGTATGTGCTGTGTTGCTTCTAGAGGTGATCACATTCCATACTGAAGGTACTTTTCCTATAGCAAACTGACACCTTCGATTTGTTCATTTTATACATGTGCTAATTTCTATACTAGCATAACTGCCTGGTAATTTCTTTTTATGTTATTTGATACCTTACTATGTGTTGTATATTGTGGGTAAGTTTCATAAAATTCTGCATGCAACTTTTGCAATAATCGTAATTTTTCCTTTATTTATGATAACCAGTGTATGATGCCGTGAACAGAGAATCGCGTGATGACGCACGTGATCACGGTCTTGAGCGGGTTAATAAGAGAATAATAAGTGTTATGACAAGATGATGATATACAAAAGCGTTATCAATAAGGAAAGAGATTTTTACCAACAACACTCTCAAGTAATACGAGTTCAGAGTGAGAAGTAGATTGTGAAGAACAAATATTAAGTGCACGAAAAACAAAGAGTAGACAGCCCCCCCCCAACAGATTGATAAGTTTTGACATTAAGAGGAAAGCAAATACAAGATAGTTTTCTGATATCTTATCAGAAAGAAATTGGATTTTTTGCTTTATATAAAATGACTCTCTAAATTCTTAAAGAACCTGGTTTACGATTAATGTCCGACCACGAACTGGACGAATCTCGCTGGCACTCGTCCAAAGTGTTAAACCTGTTGAATGCGAGCTGAAAAGAGCACTTCACGGAATTCAAGAGTGTGCATTAATAAGTGTTCGATACAGTAAAGATTGATACAACCATCTTTTAAGCAGTTATTAAATGTAATTAAATGTAAATTAAATGAAGAAATAAAATAGCAAAAATGACTCTCCGAATCATAACCAATTACTGATAAGCTTTATGCTTAACGGCTTGCCTTAAAAAACTGTATAGTAAAATCCAAATATTTGGACAAATTGGAACAAAATTTTTCTGGATATCTGAAAAATCCAGAAAAATGAATGTTTCTGAAAGCGAACTATACTTTTTAGCTTTAATAAAGAGGAGAAAATTTTAAGGGGAAAAAAATTAATGCAAAAGGGTCCAGGTTTTTACAGTCATCCAAAAGGGATCTTTTATACTTTAATATGATTTATCAGTACATATTATCGATAGAGATGGTCCAGGTGAAAAAGCGAAATGTTTCACAAATATGCATTTAGATGAATGCAATTAGACGACTATGCATTTATACTAACATGGAAACGTTATATATCTTCTGTATATTTAAAAGTGAAAAATATTTAATTTTTTTAATTAGACATATCCCGACTTAAATGCATTTTTATTTAAATCAATTAAATTAAAAAGTAAAAAAAATAATATTGTTACGAATTTCGTATATATGTAAAAACTTTTAATAAAATTGTAGTATTTTTTCTGTAATGCAACATGAAACGTTTGAAAGACATGAAGCTCTGCCAAAAAGATAAAATTACAGGGGCAAAGGTAAATAAATGGCTATCTCGGTAAACTGGCGATATATCGATACATTATACAAAAGATGTTTCAATTTCCGATATAAGTTCATTAAAATTGTTCATATAGATACAAAATCTGTAACAGTATTTGTTGCATGAAGAACAACAAATAAACTATACGGATAATTAGAAATGACGATAACAGGAATTCTAAAATATTTACCATTTGTTTCAGTCTTTAATAGTGAAACTGGAATTTCCTGATGTTATACATACTATATTAATTACATATAGAACTTAAATGGAATTTAAGCTTGAGGTGATAATTTACTTCACATAAATGGATCGAAAATGCTCGACAAAAAAGGAGCTATCGTGTATTCCGATCTTTTCTACTCATCCCTCAGTCCATTTCGGACCAATTTCGACGATGAACTCGAGGAAATTAAGAGTTGCAACTGAACAAATTATTGTTTACACAACCCAACTCAAAAATACTGTTATTTTCTCAGACTTCCATTCAGGCATTCAAGCAATTTCTGCACATAATGTCGCGGAATCAAAAATTATTGAATCTTGCAGAAGAACTCTGTATCTTCTAGCCTCAGAAGGGATAACTGTTGTCTAAGGCTGCGTTCAGACAAGGGTATAAATGTCTTAACTGGTTTAAGCCCAGCCTCGTTGCTAGGTAACCTGACAAAAACTGCTTTACGGGCTTTGACATAAGGTTC